ATTTTAATTTTTAGAATCATATTTACGAGTGGTGCATGGATCACCGAATTCATCACAAATACACAGATACAAATTCAGATCCACATAATGCTAAGAGAGGATTTTTTTTCTCACACGTTGGGTGGCTTGTTGTTCGTAGACACCCAGATTACTATGATAAATGCTCAAAAATTGATATGTCAGATTTAAAAAAAGATTCCATAGTTATGTTTCAAAAAACGTAAGATTAAATTTTAAGTTACTTTAATTCTGACTTAAATTCAAAACTTTGTTTCAGCTTTTATGTTCCATTACTGTTATTGTTTTGCTTTATCATACCAACAATAGTACCTGTTTATTTTTGGAACGAAACATATGTTAATTCGTTTTTCACAACAATGCTGCGTTATATTTTCACTTTGAATATGACATGGCTGGTCAACAGTGCCGCCCAYATATGGGGTAAACGTCCATATGATGCGTAAGTAATTAATACTTGATTCTATTGGTATCTATATTTGTTAATTTTATTAATTTTAGATCCATTAATCCATCTGAAAATYTGTCCGTGTCACTTGGAGCTTTAGGTGAAGGGTGGCATAATTACCATCATGTGTTCCCATGGGATTACAAAGCAGCTGAACTTGGAAATTACAGAGCAAACTTAACAACTGCATTTATAGACTTTTTTTCATTTATTGGTTGGGCTTATGATATGAAAGTGGTCTCAAATGATATGGTTTTAAAACGAGCCAAAAGGACTGGAGATGGTTCACATCCTAATGGTGATGGAATCTGGGGATGGGATGATTCTAACATTTCAATTGAAGATCGAAAATTAACTACTGTGATTAATAAGAAAGATGATTAAATAATAATARTGTTATCTTTATACCTTCTGGCGCCTAGCCTTTATTATTATGAAATGTAATTGTTTATTTAATTGAATTAATAAATATTATATACATATATTTAAAATCTCTTTATACTTCAAAGGATTTTATTTTTTTTTWACTTATGTTAGTCACATCCATATTACAATTGTATGTTAAAGTAAATGAAAAAAAATGTTGTGTTTAAAAATAAACACAAAGCAAAATTAATTAAGTTGTTGTTATTAATTCTTATTACTAGGGGTAATTTTTACAATGCCTATGAATACGAACACATGATAATACCTTCCTCATATCGATACGGTAAAGATGCCAAATTTTAACTGAATTAAATTTTAGTATAGAGATGTACCAATAAATCAAAATATTTAATATGTATCGAAAGATAATCATTTAAAAGTCTGTTATTGATACATCAATAAAACTTTATTAGACTGATAAGTGATGAYAGTTAACTTATTTAATTAAAATCTACAAAGATGCCAACTGCAAAGTTGTCCATCACTCAGGTACTAAGTTACATGGTTACAAATTTAAAGTTAAGAAATTCACCAAGTTTTGATAATAWAAGTGTCATCACTCGTTAATTCTACAATAATAAATCTACACATAATAAAAACCTTGTTCAATTTGTGGATAAGCATTCATACATGCTAAATATTATGGTAATAAACATTAAAAAAATTAYATATTATATATATTTTACTTGTAATTCTATTAACTCTTGATAAAAAAATATATTACTTATTAAGATTAAGAATGGAATTCCATTCCATCTACCAACAAACTATAATTAATAAGAAGTTCAGTAAAACAATGGTATACATCTCCGGATCTCAGCCGACTCCAATACATTGCTATTACCCGCATAAAAATCAGCCACACTTCTTTGACCTACACACTCTTTCCAATTAGTAAAGATTATCCACCTACATTCAATACATGTAAAACTGGGTAAACTATCAACACATTTTTGAAGAATACCTTAAAWACAAATTAACATGCACATCTCTCAACCTTCTATACAACATCAAAGAAATATTCAATAAAAAATAAGCCTCAAAATTCATCCAATTCATCACTAAATGCAACCGCATCAACAAACCTCTAACTTAGTTAATATACATGGTATATAAATTGTATTATTTAATTGTAAATATTACCAATTTCTATTGCAATTGTAACTTTAAAAAAAAATTTTGTCAAATAACCTTAGCAGTTGAAGCCTGTAAATCTTTTCAATAAATAAAAAAAAAGAATAAATTAACCAATAATAAAGTATCATCATAAAATTCAAGGTGAAATTGAAAATGCAAGTAATTCATATCTTAATACATGTATAATACCCAATTTTTTTAATTAGTAAGGGGGCTAACTATTTTATGAGTAGGGCTGGGATTTATATGTAATAGAAAACCAAAAATATGTACATATATATGTAATTAAAATTGCCAAATATGTAGTATAAAATAAAAAATATATACCTACTAAGAACATTTTTAAAAATATGTTAAAATTAAAAATTAAAATACGATTCTAAATAATTTTTGAATAATACAA